ATATATATATATATATATATATATATATATATATATATATATATATAATCACTTAATTATACTTGTTGAATATAACTGACAGAACGAGCTCTCTTTTATTTTTCTCTTACGTGTTTCTCTCAATCTGTTCTTGCAAATTTCACTTTAGCCTCAATCCCTCTCCGTATATTTGTTTTCGCTGAACCCTACTATTAAGTCCTTTCTCGAGTTTACTTTTCTCGCACAGAAAGAGATTTCAGGACATTTAGGACAGGGTGAGTGGTTCATTCTATGAAAGGCTAGTCCAGTAATTAACTAGTATCAAAATCATATGGATGATAATTTATTTCTCAATATCTCATTGGTAAAGAAAAAAAAATTAGACTATGGATTATAATAATCAAGTTGGTGAGTTTGGGATAAAACTTTTCAATCAACCTAGCTATAAGATTTGAAATACTTATTTTTCGTGGCTCGTGGAAATGCAACAAAAGTATCGATTATTATAGATAAACGCATCATAAAGAGATGAAAGATATTTAATATATATTAAATAGGTTTATTTTTTGTGATATCTTTGAATACATGTTCTAAATTAGCTTTAGAGATTTGGATTACTACATTGCTTAATAAAAAAATATGACTTGACTTCAAAGATCTATCGAAGGTGAATATAAAACTTTATATTCAAAGATATCACTCTTAGATTTAGATGAGCCTGATGCACTTACACGAATGAAATATTATTTACTTATGTGATGTTCAAAAAAAATATATATTTCTTATATGACATCTAATCAAAGATGAGTCCGACAACTATATTTAATAAGGTTAAAAATCATTAGTTCTTCAAATGATAAAAATCTTTATTTCAAGAGAGACAAAAATATATTTTTTATTAGTAAATAACAAATAATGCTAAAGAGAAAGAGAAAGATGATGTTCACCAGAAGTTAGAATTTTCTTTGAAAAATGATGTAATTTTTATCATGTTTTACGCTCCTGGTTATCGTAAGACGATTTAAAAAGATATGTTTTGGAAACAGTTTTTATTTTTAATTTCTACTGCGTATGTGATGCTCTTTGAGGGTTCCCAATATTATGATCTTATCACAATGCAGAGCTATCATACATAGTCTAGTAGATCATACATCAAGCATGGTCTCTCATAATATTTTATCATACTATTTCTTAGATGCATGTATGAATGAATTAATAAATGTAAATGAATGATCATGATTGTATATGTATCCCTATTGAGAGCAGGTAGGGCAATTCGCTTCGAAGATTATCTGAATCTCGGATTTTGATGATTAAACCAATTGATAAGTATTTATATTTTAATCTACGTTTTGAGTGACGCAAAATGCTTCGATTAGGATGAGAGAATTAAAGCAGGAAGAATCATGTTGTGCCGGAGAAAAACATGTCAGAAGATTGGATGTCGAGCCGGAGGATCGCTCGACATATCGACAGAAGGCTTCGGGCCATGGATTCAGGCATCGGCCCAAGAAGAGCAAATATTGCGCCAAGGATATTGAAGTTGTAGAGTCAACTAGCCGATTGGGCAATAGGCCGCAAGAGAGGATGATGTGCCAAAGAATCGGACGAAGCGTCGAGGGACCAATGACATGTCGGACAATATGATTAATGTTTAGTATTAATTATCTAGATCGAAGTATATTTTACATGTACAGGATTAACTACGATAGCAAGGCATGAAGCAAAATGAAGTCCCGGAGTCAAGGATACGATTTCGTTGGGAGTTCGAGAGTTCATCGGAAGTCCAGACGTTCGTCGGAAGTTCTATTAGAACCAGCCGAGAAGTCTCGGAGCTTGCCAGAGAAGCTCATCGGAACTCGTTAAGAATATCATCGTGAAGTCCAGAAGCTTGCTGGGAGTCCGTCGGAACATTGCCAAGAGATCGTCGGAAGTTCGCCGGAAGATCGTCGAAAGCTTACCGAAAAAAACCGAACTTATCTTACTTAGATTATGTCTTAGGAATCATAGTTAGCATATAATTAGAATTATGATTGGGTGGTAATCCCATCAACTCTGTTAGGGGCCAACTGGGCCCAAAGTTGGATTGGTTTGGGCCAGATTCAAGGCCCAACCAAGGTGCTGAAACCCTGGCCGGTGGTGGCACCGCCTGGGGAACAGCACCCCAGGAAACCTAGGCTGTGATACCGCTGGTAGCAATGCTGGCAATGGTGGTATCGCCCTTGTTCGGTGGTGGTACCGCCCAGTACCAGTTCCTGCGACAGTAGTACCACCTAGGAACGGCGGTGGTACCACCGGTACCTAGGAAACCTGAGATGAGACCTTTTTAGGCTCTAAGTTTGAATCAACTTGAAGTCCATGAATACCCCTCTTTAAGTTTAAAAGTGAAGAAATACACAAGCACAAAGAGTTTAAAAGTGAAGAAACTTGCTGCAATCTCTTTAAAATTCCCTCCTCCACTCTAAGTTTAGAATTCTGTAAA